GTACAGTTCAAAATTACAACACAACACAAAACTGAACGGAACGGGCTCTTGATATAAGTGCAGGCCCACCCATTTGAGATACTTTTGCTTTTGTAATCCGGCGGGGCCAATTCTTTTCATTAACGTTAAAAAATTTACATTTTTAAATAAAATATTATATGAAAAAATTTGTAATATATAATATTTAAATGGTTAGTATTGTAGTAGTTTGAACTATAAAACTTAATAGCAAATTAAGGTTTTTTTTTTAGTATATTGGAGGGATAGTACTTAACAACACAAAATTTTAAATCTTCAATTTTGACTTCAAATTAAGATTTTTAACTTAATAAATATTAATTCAATCAAAGTTTTTTTTAAGTAACAAATTAAGAGTTTTAAGCTAAGGTATGCTAACTCAGTTGAACTCTTTTCGTTAAAAATGATAAGTTCGTCATTGTCTGGAATTAATTGGCCCTACAATGCCTAGAATCAACAACAAATTTGGATATAGTCCTTCAATATTTTGTGTAATAAGCAACGAGTTCAATCTAGATTAAATAATAGTTAACAAGAAAACTTATACCATTCGCAGTCATATTGTTGGGTGGTAATGTTATTTATATTCTTAAAGTATATTTGATTTATAATATATTTGGATTGAAGGGAATGAGAGGGAGAAGAGAGGAGGGAATGAGAAGGAGAAGAGAGGAGAAAAGAGGTAAGTTTTTTAATCAATCAAATTATAATTTTTTAAAATATTATAATTTGATCGGTTAACAAATTTTCTCTTTTACTTCATTTCTCATAATACAAACATATGGTTAAAGAAAATAGAAAAAAGGAAAGAGATAAGTTTTTTGGCTTGTTAAAAACCCATCCTCCCTTTGCCTCCATCCTTGCTTCTAGGTATGCAAAAAAGAAGAAAGAAGTGGAGTTTCCATCCACCATGAGAAAAATGATTTTTAGTGACAGAAATTTACGATAAATTTTGAAATCATCACTATAACTTATTAAAATTGTGATAAATCTAAAAAATTAGTTACAAATGCATACATATTTAATGATAAAGAAAAAAATTCATCATAAAAAATATATTTCGTCATTGAAAATTGTTCATAAAGATAAAATAAGTTTTTATCAATAAAATAAGTTTTTGTCAATAAAAATCGTCACTATAATTTATTACAATTATGACAAAATTCTAATATTTGTCACATATACCTTACGCATTTAATGATGACTAAATAATTTATCACTAAATATATATTTTGTCAATAAAAATTGTCAGTTTTTTCTAATCAATGTATCTCATATCAATAAAAAACATATAAGAAAATAAGATTTTGTATGGTAAATATATCTTATATCGATGAAAAATATTTAAGAAAATAAATTTTTGCACTATAAAACATATGAAACTCAATAAAACTTGAGATTAGTTTGGGCCTGATTAATTTTAATTGGGTTTGATTAATTTTAATCAAAATTAATTAGTGTTGAAATAATAATATTTTTTATTAAACTTTTGTAATAAATTTATATATTAATTTTTTGTGACAAAATTTTTGTTACAAAATTTTTGTTATAATTATATAAATACATTTTTTATTTAATATCAATTTGAATAATTAATGACTAAATTTTTCATCACAATTGTATTTGTGATTTTTTTTTTGTCACTCAATTGTAACATTTGTGATGAAAATTATTGTAACAAAAAATATTTTTTTGTGATGAATAAAATTGTTATAAATAACTTGTTAATAATGTCAATTTTTTTTATTACTATAAGATTATTTTCTGTGACAGGTGCTTAATTTGTCATTAAGAGCATTAGTGACAATGATTTTACTAACGGTTTAAATTTTATCACTAATAATAATTTGTGACGAAAAATAAAGATTTAATAATCAATAATTTAGTTATTAAATGTAGATTTTCTTGTAGTGATCTCTTCCTCTACCTTTTGCTTCCACGGCAACCCAGCTTTCTTTCATGTTCTATTAAAATCAAGATAATTGCAAATTGATATTTTATTTTTCTCTATTTTTACTAAATTTTCATTTATAAAATCAACAAACAGGATGCCCAGAAAAATCTGAAAATTGGTGAAGTTGTAGGAAAAAAATCAGATCTTGATTTTTGGTGTTTATCCTGCTTTTATGGGCTTGTACGTATATACATGACGCCGGCCAACTGCTTTTGGAAATATTGCCTTCAAAAGCACTAAGCACTATACATTGAAAAAGATGAAGGATATATAGTAGATTTACAAGTTCATGAAAAAGCCGAGAAAAAAATGCAGTCATGTTCAAGACGACCCAAAAAGAAAAAAAGAAAAAAAGAAGAAGAAATGCAACCACGTTCATACTCATCCTTCGATACCCATCTACACCATGCAAACGGTCCTCCTACCAAGCAGTATTTGTTCAGAAATCGACACCTTAAACCGTAAGTTTCTCTGGGCTGTCGATATGCAATCAAACAAACCACATCTTGTTAATTGGAATGATGTGTGCTTGCCTAAGAAATATGGAGGCATGGGATTGAAGTCTGCAAGAGACTACAACAAAGCTTTGATTGCAAAGTTGGGTTGGCACATGCTTTCTGGAAGCAACAAACTATGGTGCCAGGCTTTCACCTATAAATATCTCCATTCAAATAGCTTCTTGAACTGCAACCCCACCCCATCTTCCTCTGTCACCTGGCGAAGTATTTTGAAATGCAGGGACATGCTCCGCTTAGGCATACAATGGCGAGTCGGCTCTGGTACGCAAATCCAACTATGGCATGATGTTTGGGCAGGAAATTCGAAGCTCCTTGACGTTGCATTATCTCCAATTCCTCATCATCTCCTTGACTTACCAGTGGCTGCTATCATCAACAATTCAAAATGGGATTTGGAGCAATTGACAGGACTCCTCCCAGACCACATACTTCAGACTATTGCAGCTATCCCTCTACCTATTGCAGGCCATCTAGAAGATTCTATCTACTGGTATAATTCATCCCAAGGTGACTTTTCAGTAAAATCTGTCATCCAACTCCTCCAGCAATCACGCTTACCTGACATCCCTGAAGTAGGAGAATGGGCATGGATATGGCAATTATGTTGCCCAGAACGAGTTAAGCTTTTTGTGTGGTTATTGAAAAAAGAAAGAATTCTTACGAACTCAGTCCGTTTTGCTAGACATATGGCTCCTACTCCAGTTTGCCCCCGTTGCGAGCAGTCACCTGAAACCCCATTGCACCTCCTACGAGATTGCTACTACTCACGGCTTGTTTGGGATGCTACTAACTTTCTACCTGGAGATTTCTTCCAGCTTGATTTTGCCCCTTGGTTGAGGAAAAATTCTTCAAAATCAAGAATGGGACCACGTGCTTCCGACTCATGGTCGAGTATTTTCCTTGCGACCATCTGGTATTTATGGAAAAGTAGGAACAAACTGATATTTGAGGAGCAAAGGGTCTCACCACTAGCTATCGTCCAGCAAGCTAGCAAATTAGCTTGGGAAATCCAACTGGCGTTTGCGGCAAAGGCGACCCTCATCTCAAAAGCCCCTAGATGGGTCAGTTAGAGCCCCCCTCCCCAGCACTTCTTTAAACTTAATACCGATGGATCACATGACCATAGCTCGGGCAAAGCCGCTGCGGGAGGGCTTCTTCGCGATCACCTTGGGCACTGGTATCATGGTTTTGCCACAAATGTGGGTATCACTACAAGCTTCTTGGCTGAGTTATGGGGATGCAGAGAAGGCCTTAAGCTTGCTATTTCCCTTGGAGTGCAGCAACTAATTTTGGAAATGGATTCCTTACTGGCAGTCCAACAAATCCAATCCCGGAAGGTGTCTGCAGGTGCAGCATCAGTTCTTCTTAATGATATCTGCTTGCTACTTGACTCCTTTAGCTCTTGCTTGGTGCAGCACACTCTAAGGGAAGGTAACTATGCTGCTGATTTTATGGCGTCTATTGGGCATACAATCGATTTGGATACAACCTTCTTCCCAACGCCCCCAACGGGTATTAGCATGATCCTGCAAAGTGATTGTATTGGGGCCATGTCCCTTAGATATTAAGCTCAAATAGCCTCTTATGTACCAAAAAAAAAAAATCAAGCTATCTAATTCGATAATCAGCCGGAAGGGTGAAAGCCCAAAAACAGTACTGGTAGTCATTAATTAATGAGATAGCGAAGTGTCCTGCTATATGACGGAATTGGGGTTGAAATGTTTCACATGCGTACACAGATGCAAACTATATGTTGGGTTGGGTGAAAAAATTTTATATTATAGTTATGGTTAAAGTTATAATTTTAATTAATATTTTATTAATTTAATTATTAATAGTTATTAATAATTAAAAAAAATAATTAATATTTATTGATTAATAAATTAAAATTAATTTATAAATAAATATTTTTAAATATTTTAATTAATTATTTAAAAAATTTATTATATAAATTAATAAAATATTAATATAATTAACTGAGTTAAACAAAAAAATAATACGTGGTACTGGTAGTAACCACTGCCCGTTACATGTAAAGTTATTGCTAATAAATTTTAAGTTATGCACTTGGCCTATTTGGTTAAGTGGAAGTGTACTTCATCGCCTAGCTTTGTGAGAGGTTCAATTTGCTCTTCTTAAAATTTGTAATGGTTTAAAAAAAAAGTTGTATGAAGTAAGAAATCTTAAATTATAGTTGTCTAAAATATAAATGAAGTAAGTTAAGTAATGAGATATTGTTGTTTTTCACCGTATGATGCAAAAAAAAAAAATTAACTTAAATGCTTTTTTTTGTTAATAATTTAAATAATGTAATAATAATTTTTTATTAAAAACAAAAAATTTTAATTTTAAGCCATATAACATATAAATGAAGTAAAATGAAAAATAAAAAATTATTTTTTATTGATAAAAAACACTTAAATGCTCCTTTTAAAAAGGGAAATTAACTTAGATGCTCCTTTTATATTTATATTTTGACCATTGTCTCAAATTTTCACATGTTGCATAAATTATGGCTAGGTATATATGCTTTAGAGAACCAACTCGATGGGGGCTAAGTTAGCCTCGTACGTGACAAGTACGTGGCATTTTTTGATTGATGAGACAAGTGGCTCAGCCTTGCAAAGGAGGGGAACAGGGAGAAGGCTCGAACCCCTGCCATTGTGATGTGGTACGGTAGTCATGTACAGGGTAGCCATTTCTTCCGGAGAAAATAGGTAATAAGAACAGGTTTAAGTATCATTTGGTCCCTCAACTTTTTACTTTGATATTAAAATTGTCTCTTGATTTTAAAAAGTACTAAAATTATCCTTTCATTTTTTATATCAAAATGATCCTTCCGTCAGTTAAATTAACAGCTGACACGTTAAATGGATAGCTGGCACGTTAAATGCCACAACATCATTGGACAACTTAATTTTAATGACGTGTAAATTTCAGGTAAAAAATTTTGATATTTTTTTATTATTGTTTCACCATTTTTCAAATTAAAAAAAAAAAAAATCATCTTCTTCCTTTTTATTCTTGTTCTCTCCCTTCTCCCTTCTTCCTTTCCAAATCAAACCCAGATCTGGGTTTTTTTCCTCCTCTCTCATCCTGCACATCGCTGGAACCCAGATCTAAAACCCAGATTTCCATTGTGTTAACCCTGCAACATCCTGTTCAATAGATGTAATTAACCAAAGAACCATGCATTAACAACTCAAGAACAATGATAGAAAATCTTATATGAACTCAAAATCCCTCCAAAAAGAGATCAGGATAACTGATGATGGTGATAATTACCTGCAATGTTTCATATGCAGCTTCCATTCTCTGCTTGACTGTATCAACTTTAGCAAGGGCAGCTATAGATTCCGCTGAGGAGCCTATCGCCTGCAATTTCAAAATTCAGCTGCATTAAGCACATTTCCAATAATGAAAAGGTTTTGAAACCAAATCTTCATTATTCAGTTTCCAATTTAGACATTACTGAGTTAAACGAATTTCAACTCTCCTGTACTTTGTCAAGATCCAAGCAACATGAAATTGACATAAGATCTCTAACAAAAGGAAAGATAATAAGAACAACAGACCTTCTTAAGCTTGTCGAGGATTCCAGCAATGGAATTGCGGAGGGAAATAGCGTCATCACGGAGGCGGAGGACGTCAAGGGTGGCACGGGGGACACGGAGAAGGGCGGAAGCGCTCTGCTCCTCAAGAGAGGCGGCAATTTCTTCGGAGACCATTTGAAGATTCATTTCGAGATCCACCATGTGCTTGTCCAATGAGTCCTGCGGGTGGCGGCTCTCACATGCTGAGTTTATCCATTTCTTAGGACAGCTGGATTTGAGACAAACCCAGATCTGGGTTTGCTTGGGAGAGGAAGAAGAAGGAAAAAGAGAAAGAAGAAAGAAAAAGGATGAGTGAGGAAAGGAAGGAAGAAGTTTGATTTTCGAAGGATTGAGAG